TTTTCATGTAATTTATCGCTTTATCATGGTTTCCCCCTCCTTTGTCATTTATGTGCCTGCCGTTTGTTTCTTAAAATTTTCTTTTAGGTGATATCATGACCATAAAGGCTTAAATTGTGTAAATATGGTATACTTAGGGCAATAAACATCCATGGTTAGCTAGATACAGAACTGGTGCAATTACTCAAGTTAAATATTTTCTAAAGACACTCCTCTGAAAGAGTAAATTAACTGGGGAGTCATTTGTTACAGTTGCAGATAGTTACCAATAGTATTCAGTCATAAAAAGCAAATCTGGAAAGGAAAGAATAAAGAAAAGAAAAAAGAATGTTTCCAATGATGGACTTACCTATTACTACTGCCTGATCTCTGATAACAATACCAATTCATGCTCTCCTTCCTCGCCAGAATGTTGGCATTCTCGAGGAATGAAGCTTTTTGTTTCCTTTGGATTGCCTGTGTTTTCATTTCTACACTGAGTCAACAAGAAACAGAAGCCTTTCAGTGTGACAACGGGATCTCTCTGCCTTCTGACAATGTGTGTGACTTCACAGATCAGTGCGGGGACAACAGCGATGAACAGCAGTGTAAGTGGCATTCTCCTTTCTCCAATTTCAATTCCCTGTACAACTTCAAACCGGGACCTCTGAGCAGCCTGGGAGAATCAGCTAGATACCTGGCCTTGTATGGATTTTATTTTATGTGCCTTTAGTGCAAATCAAAAACGAAAATATATTGTTTACTAAAGAGATGGGTCCATACATAAAAAAGGACAAATCACTAAGATATTAACTGGATGGAATGCATTTTAAGTCAGTTTTTACCCACAATAAAAGCATGGTAAGAAATGTACCTTTTAACGTTGTATTAGCAAAGCGAAGTTCAAAAGAAGCTCATTAATGCAGCTGTAAAATGCTGTGATGAAGTTAGGAGCTTATGTTTGAATTTAGTATGAAATATTTCAAATGGATTATAGGTTCGATGGGTAGTTTTTGTTTTCATTTACACAATACTACCACTAAGTGAGTTGTTATCGATTGCACATGGAGCACAGATCTGGCTTGTGTCTTTTGATTCCAGGACAGAGGAAAAAGCATGAACTTCAGAAAATGTAAAACCTAGATCCTAGAAGGATCCAGGACCCACATTTTATGTGATCTTGAATCTTCATTTTATTATAAAAGTTCATGAACTCTCACAGGTGAGAAAATGCCCCATTGGTTAGTGGAATAACATCAATGAACAGGAAATGGTTTACCAAGGGAAGACATGGGTAATGACAAGCATGTTTCTGTGGTTTCTATTGTGCTATGAAATCTTGAAGAAACACTGCCTATCAGCAATAGAGACTAGTGTCATTCTTATGTACAATCACCTTTCACGAACAACATTTTCATGAAATTACCATGGGTTCATTGTTGGTTCATAGTAGCTATTGATGCAATTAATTATCTAGAGGCACGAATTCTATTATTGTAGGTCACTTAATTCAAACATATACTTTCTGTTTTTTTTATTCAGATAAAATATCAATTAGTGTTTACAGAATTCTTCATTTTCATCTGTAAGGTTCTACATATTTATTTTTGCCTTTCTTTGCCTTCCATTTACATACTTAGTTCTTATTACATTAAAACAAGAAAAAAACAATTACTGGAAAAATTTCTTCTTTGCAGAATGAAACAGGCTAATGATTTTTCTCCCATAGTTTGGGGTAGTTATCATGCTGTTAGCACTCAGTAACTATTAAATAAAACTGCAACCAAGGGTAAGGATTCATTTGTATTTGTCCAGTTTCCCTAGAGAGGCTAACTGTGCGCATGTTGCCCCTTGCTCTGGTCTGTCTGGGTAAGCCCTCACTGTTCATCGGTGAGCAGAAAAGAGGAACCAATCCGCTGTTTTGACAACAAGTGCAAAGTCCTTTCCATTATTAATTTCTATGAAGCTTCCTCTAGCACTCTTGCTGTGATAACATGCATGGTCCTGCTTCAGGGAAAAGGTTAATGTGAAGAAGGAGAAAGCCGCTGAGTGGGAAAGGTCTCGGCTGCATGAAAAATTCTAATAACTCCCAGCCTCGGAGGGAAGCGAAGGCACAAATCTGTCGAACAAACAGATTTCATTTTAAATGTTACATGGGGAGGTCACCTTTTAGCTTTGTCGCTTTTCATTTTCATTTCTGAGAAGTTTCCACTTTGGTATTTTATTTAAAATGTGGGAGAGAACTTGGAGATAAACATTGAGAATCACTTTAAAGCATGCGTTTCTTTTGTGCACCACACTAGGGGAAAAATGTTTTGAAGAAATAATGATGGCCAAGCAGTTTCACTCATGGGAACTTGTAAAGCTAAATGAACAGATCAGATTTTTTTAAAAATCTAACTTTATAATGATATTACAGTAGCCACATTTTGAAAAAAAATCAGTTTAGCCCCCTTTACTATCCAAATGATGTGATGTTAAACAGAAATAGATTCATGTGTTGACTTTTCTGAATAAAACTGGCACAATTGAAGTTAATGCTATTAATAGGCTTTTGAAAATACATTCTTATTTTACGTGATGGACTTCTTTTTAAAAGTACATACACCTGATATTTTAACTCAGTTTTTTTTTTTT